CGGCAGAGTAGGGCGACCAAGACACGATGAAGAGCAGAATCACTGCCAGGGCCACTCGGGCCATCCGCCACTCGCCGCGCAGCCGCTCATACGCCCTGCTGGTCTCTCCGCTGCTCAGCCTCTTCACCTCGTGAGCCGCCCGCCGCACCGCCCAGAACATGAGCAGGTAGCAGCTGGCGATGACGGCCAGCGGGATGAAGAAGACGAAGACGAAGAGCAGGACGGTGTAGCTGCGCACCGGCGCCGTGAAGCTCATGTAATCCCAGCTGCAGGACGTCTGCAGGCCCTCCGGGACGTAGGCGCTCCACCCGAAGAACGGCGGCAGACTCCAGCCCAGCGAGTACAGCCACACCCCCACGGCCGCCACGCACAGCCGCCGGCGGCTCGCTCCGCCCAGCAGCGCCAGCGGCCGCGTGACGGCCAGGCAGCGGTCCCCGGCGATGGCCGTCAGCGTCATCATGGACGCGATGCCGAACAGAGCGCCGCAGAAGGCGTAGAGCTCGCAGGCAAACTCCCCGAACACCCAGCGGCGGTGCAGGCTGGCCACGAAGAAGACCGGAGATTGCGTCACCGACATCAGGAAGTCCGCCACCGCCAGGTTGACCACCAGCAGGTTGCTGGGCGTCCGCAGCGTCTTGCTACGACAGAACACGTAGATGACCAGCGCGTTGCCCAGCGCGCCCGTCACTCCACCAGCAGGATCACACAGCCGATGATGTAATGGGCATGCGCAGGAACGTCCACGGTAGGGAACGGGCGGTGTGTGGGAACGAGCATCTGCAGGGGTTTCTGCTGATCTGTGCAGTTTCCTGCCGGGGGGCCGTCAGACGCCATCCTGCAGGGACAGCGATGGTTCCTGGACCTTGATGGTTCCTGGACCCTGATGGTTCCTGGACCCTGATGGTTCCTGGACCCTGATGGTTCCTGGACCCTGATGGTTCCTGATTCTGGTTGGGTCTTTGGTTCTGGCCGGGTCACTGGATCAGTCGGTGTGAACGCTCAGTGGATGTCGGTTGGATGTTTGTCTGCAGGAAGAACTCTGAGCTTTTTATGTCGCTCCATCGACTGATGAGGAGCGGGGGGTAATGGAGCGAGCGCTAATACCCCGAGGGTAAATGAACATCTGGAGCAGAGGCAGCCTGATTATTTGGAGACTAATGATGTCAGAACCCTCAGTTCTGCCGATTAGGAGGACAAATATCTAAAAACAAACTAACCAGATCCAGACTGGCTTCACATTCAGCTTTAGGAACTTCTGCAGTCGGTACCAGACCCCTTGGACGACCTCTGACCTCCAGCAGAAAGACCACATAAAGGCCTACCTGAGTCCAACCTGTCCTGCGTCAGACGCTCCCTGGCTGACATGTCAAAGCTCTTAGTTTAAAAGATTCAAAGAAGAAAAATCAGAAGAATCTGGAAACAGATTCATGTGAAAAATGACCAACGTTTCCATAAACAATCATGCAGTTGATAAGAATCAGACAAAACATCTGCTGTGGCTGCAGACCATTGGACCAGAACCCGACCGGGACCAGAACCCGACCGGGACCAGAACCCGACCGGGACCAGAACCCGACCGGGACCAGAACCCGACCGGGACCAGAGCCCGACCGGGACACAACACAAGACGACACAGGAAGTGAATAAATACAGAAAACCCAAATCAATAGTCAATGAACTTTTGTGGGATATGATGTTGCATAATTGACATGTTTTTATGATGTTTGTGGTCAAAAGATGATGTGAATTTATGGTAATATTTTTGAAAATTCTCCAAATTGCAAAGAGAAACTGAACCTCACTGCCGCCTTGGATATTGATCCAGAAGTCTGGTTAACAAATAATCAATAATTATTTATAATTAGCAGAAATTCCTGGAAGAGTCGCAGGAAGGGACTGGACTAAGGACAGGTTGGACAGATAGTTGGACAGTGTTGCTAGGTGACAGGACAGCAGGAGGAGGACGTTAGCCTGAGGACATTAGCATCCCATTAGAAGATCGATCGGTCAATCAGCTGATGGACGATTGGGAGACACTCTGGACCGATATGAACACCGTGTCGATACGAAGTGATTCTTCTGGTTTGGAACATTTTCTAAGTTATGGAAAAGCAACTAAAGAGTTAAATTACATCTTCAGAAATCCTTCATTGTTTATTTGTATTTTATTAAATCAAATTTCCCACATCATCTACAGGTCAGTGAACACAGCAGCTTGAGGCTGTTGCTGCACATGCTCAGTTCTGATCAGCAGGGGGCGCTAACACTTTGACCGGCTGCATAAGACTGACGTGAACCAATCTTTATGACTGTCGCAACAATTTCAAGCAAAGTTGCATTAAAAACGCCAGTTTTGCATTATTTTGTAAATAATGAGATTTTTTAAAAACTTTATTTTATTTGTTTTTAAACATACAGATATTCACAATCAAACTTGAGGGCTTGTGCAGGTGGCAGCATTCATACTGATGACGATTCCACTTTTACAGACATTTCAAAGTAAACAGATAAAAGCTCCCAGCTTTCTGTTCGAATGACGTGGAGGAACAGAAATGAACTGTTAAAGCCTTTGATATTAAAATATTCCCATCTTTCTCAAAGTTTCTGTCCCTTCTCCTTCCTGAGCCGTATTGTAAAAGTCAACATTTCCATATCGTGGATCAGGTTTATAATATTCACCAGAAGCTTCAGGGTGGAGGTTTAGACTGGAGCCAACATTTAGTCATCGCTTTCTTGCTTGCGATCAGAAATATCTTCAACAGGTACGTGTCCCCATCACTGAGTCCCTCAGGAAGTATTCCATGGTACATAGCAGGAAATGACTAATCTAAGGTTATACCCATAATTTCATATATTACTCCATTAACGTCCTTCCAGAAGGTCTTCAACTCTGGACAGTCCCGGTCCCACGCCGCAGCCCCTCCAGCACGAGGACTGGGAGCCAACCAGCTTCCATCTCTGCTTTGGCGCAAAAAAATCAGATTGGATTCTTCCAGCAGAAATGGCGCCATGTGAAATAATAATATTAGCTACCATAACTATGCAGATGACACACAGCTCTACATTATGATGTCACCAGGTGACCTTTGACCCCATCCAATCACTGAATAAATGTTTAGAACAGATAAATGTGTGGATGTGCCAAAACTTTCTCCAACTGAACAGAAACAAAACTGAAGTCATTATTTTTGGACCTAAAGAGGAACGATCTAGAGCTCTAGATCTATAGCTCTAGATCTATAGCTCTAGAGCTAGAGCTATAGATCTAGAGTCAATGCACAGCTTCAGTTATTACAACTAAAAACTAGCGATCAGCCCGAAACCTTGGAGTAGTGATGACCTCTGACCTGAACCTTGCGAGCCACATAAAGACAGTAACAAAGTCGGCCTTCTATCACCTGAAGAACGTCTCCAGGATTAGAGGACTGATGTCTCAGCCAGATCTAGAGAAACTCATCCATGCGTTTATCTTTAGTCACATTGATTATTGTAACAGCGTCTTCACAGGCCTGTCCAACAAATCAATCCTCCAGCTGCATCTGATCCAGAAGCTGCTGCTCCTGTTCTCACTAGAACCAGGAAGATAGAGACATAACAGCAGTTTTAAAGTCCCTCCACTGGCTCCCTGTAGCTCAAAGACTAGACTTTAAAATACTGTTGTTAGTTTATAAATCACTGAACGGTTTAGCACCACAATACATCAAAGATCTGCTGTTGTTGTATCAACCTTCCAGACTCTCAGGTTCTGGTTCTGGTTCTGATCTGCATCCCCAGAACCAGAACCAAGAGAGGAGAAGGAGCTTTCAGCATCTATGCACCAAAACTTTGGAACAAACTTCCAGAAAACTGTAAAACAGCAGAAACCCTGACTTCCTTTAAATCTCGACTAAAAACACACCTGATTAGAGTTTGATTTGAAATGTAATATGGAACAATGTATTGTTTATTATATGTTGCATGAGTTTGTGTTTATGATGTAAAACACTTTGAAATGCCTTGTTGCTGAAATGTGCTATACAAATAAAATTTGATTGATTGATTGATTGATTGATTGATTGAAAGAATTTGTGGTTCACAAAGTTCCTCCAAATCTGCATCCAGGCCTCAGGTGAAATTATTGCATCAGCTGACTTCTCATTAATTGATATTAAGTTTCTGTAATATTTGCCAATGATGCCGTTTGTTTTTCTACCAGCATATGAATCCATAAAAATTTGTTCTATTCCTGGCTCTGCGTCCGAATCAGGGATTTTTATTTCCTTCGTAAAGAAACTTTGGACCTGCAAATAACGGTAGAAATCTTCACTCCCCACCTCATAAATCCAACACAGATCCTCAAATTTTACTAGCTGCCCATCTTTAATATATTACAGAATGTAATTAATTAAATATGGTGACTCCCTGTCTGGTCCATCTTCTATACTTGAGTCTATCGATGCTGGGAGGAAACGCGGGTTTTATGCGATTGGGTACCTGGGGCAAACCGTCCAGACAGCAGAGGGAACAAAGAAAAATAATGACAATTTAATGCAAATGTGGGACTTTTAATTTCATTTTAATTTAGAGCAACTTAGCATGAAAAGTGTCATTATTTACCAAATGACGTTTCATGACATCAGTCATAAAGACTCGTTCATGTTCATGAATTGTCATGTCAGTTTTGTCAAATAAAGTGTCACCCAGGTGGCTAGTGGAGCTCTAGCTCCCCCTACAGGGCGCATCCTTAAAGACACAGTAACCCTCAGCTTTGTCTCCAAGACCAGGTGTGCTGGCCGGGGTCATGTGACCATGATGATGTCATCAGGGTCCTCTGGAGCTAATGCTGCTGTTTCTCAACTCTTCTGCTCTGATACCCAGGTGGGCAGGTCCTCCTAATGCGGCCTCTTCTGCTCACCTGGAACTCTGACCCAAACCTGCCAGGTGTGCCAGGTGTGTTCCAGGTGTCCCAGGTGTGTTCCAGGTGTCCCAGGTGTGTTCCAGGTGTTCCAGGTGTTTCCAGGTGTTTTCCAGGTGTTTTCAGAAGTTACAAATTTTCACTTGATAAAAGAACTTTTTTTCACGTCTTTATTTTCATGTCCAGTAAAAGTCAGAATATTTCGTCCAGGTAAACATGCAAGCAGCACCTGGAGAGGTATCGGGCCAATCAGATTGCAGGGATCAGGGAGGGGGCGTGGCGTCTTCGCGTGTGTTTCAGCAGCAGCTGGCGGTCCGGGCTGGAGTACTCACACAGTTGGCATGGAAACACCTCACCTGTGTGATGGCGGCGAGCGTGGAGGTCCAGGCTCTTCTTCTGGATGCTGATGGTGATAAACATGGTCAGGTTACCATGGTAACCAGCAGGCGCAATATTCAGACAGAGAGGAACTAAAACACAGACGGGTATGAGTGGGCGTGTCTAACAGGTGCCTTACCTGCTGTAGCCACAGAGCTGACAGCGATACGGCTTCACCTGGCTGTGAGTCCTGCTGTGTCTGAGCAGGGAGCTGCGGTCGATGGAGGCGTACGGACACTCGGCACACCTGAACGGCTTCTCACCTGGGCAAACACAGGAACAGCTTCCTGAGCAAAGGTCACCACCCAGGTGGGCTGCCTGCGTCGGTCCCAGGTGTGCTACCTGTGTGAGTTCTCAGGTGTTGCCTCAGCGAGGCCTTCAGCCGGCTGCTGTAGGGACAGTGAGGACAGGTGAACGGTTTCTCTGCTCCGTGGACGCCCAGGTGTCGTCTCAGAGTCAGCTTAGAGGAGAACTTCCTGTCGAGGGAACACCTTGGTGCTCAGGTGTGGCGCCAGGAACCCAGCTCTGGCTGTAGTGGTGAATTATGGGTAATGTAGTTACCTGTGGCACAGAGAGCAGGTGAGGCTCACCTGCTCCTCATTCCTGATTGGTGAGACGACCTGGGACGAACCAGACTGGCACAAACTGGTTAGACTGGGAGCAGAGCTGCTCGGATCACATGCTGCTTTCTGATTGGCTGTTGGCCCGGGGAGATTCAGAGGTCGACCAATAGGAGACGCTCTGCTGCCAAAACAAAACTCAAAGTTTTCAGGATTAGATTTGAAACGAGATGAAACTCAATAAGGTTTTATGCTCCACCCTAAACCATCTGCTCCACCTAAAACCATCTGCTCCACCCTAAACCATCTGCTTCACCCTAAACCATCTGCTTCACCCTAAACCATCTGCTCCACCCTAAACCATCTGCTCCACCCTAAACCATCTGCTCCAGACACCTCTTGATGTTAAATGACTCACCCATCAGGAAGCTCCGCCTCTTTGTGTCTTGTGGTGCAGTCAGCCGGGCCCTCCACCTGTCTGAAGGCCAATCGGAACGCTGAGCAGCCAAAGATCCTCCACCCGTCCTGCTGCTCCTCCACTTCCTCCTCCTTCCTCTCCTGCAGCGCCTCCTGCAGTGCGGCTCCAGCGCCTCCCAGCTGTCGGCAGTTCGGCCGCAGCGGCTGCAGCCGAAGCCGCCGGCGGCTCGGTGCGACCGGACGTGGACGTCCAGCAGGCGTTCTGACGGGAGCGTCAGGGGACAGAGGGGACACGGCAACCGGCCTGGGGGCGGAGCCTCGCCTGCCCTCTGGTCTCGGCCGTCGGCGGGCGGAGGTCTGACGGAGGAGATGCGACAGAGTCCCAGGTCATGAGGTGGGCAGACTGGGCGGACTGGTCCGTCTGCTCCAGGGTGGAGGGAGGCGTGGCGGGACAGGACAGCTCCACTGGCGCCCCCTTCAGGGGAACATGGAGGACCCCTCAAACAGAGTGCTGACCTGCAGCACCGCAGAAGAAGAAGGTCCAACATGGCCGTGTTACCTCACAGGTGTGTGTGTGAGTGTGTGTGTGTGTGTGTTACCTCACAGGTGTGTGTATGAGTGTGTGTGTGTGTTACTCACAGGTGTGTGTGTGTGTGAGTGTGTGTGTGTGTTACCTCACAGGTGTGTGTGTGAGTGTGTGTGTGTTACCTCACAGGTGTTGTGGTGTGTGTGTGTTACTCACAGGTGTGTGTGAGGTGTGTGTGTGTGTGTTACCTCACAGGTGTGTGTATGAGTGTGTGTGTGTGTTACCTCACAGGTGTGTGTGTGTGTGAGTGTGTGTGTGTGTTACCTCACAGGTGTGTGTGTGAGTGTGTGTGTGTTACCTCACAGGTGTGTGTGTGTGTGTGTTACCTCACAGGTGTGTGTGTGAGTGTGTGTGTGTGTGTGTTACCTCACAGGTGTGTGTATGAGTGTGTGTGTGTGTTACCTCACAGGTGTGTGTGTGTGTGAGTGTGTGTGTGTGTTACCTCACAGGTGTGTGTGTGAGTGTGTGTGTTACCTCACAGGTGTGTGTGTGTGTGTGTTACCTCACAGGTGTGTGTGTGAGTGTGTGTGTGTGTGTGTTACCTCACAGGTGTGTGTATGAGTGTGTGTGTGTGTTACCTCACAGGTGTGTGTGTGTGAGTGTGTGTGTGTGTTACCTCACAGGTGTGTGTGTGAGTGTGTGTGTGTTACCTCACAGGTGTGTGTGTGTGTGTTACCTCACAGGTGTGTGTATGAGTGTGTGTGTGTGTTACCTCACAGGTGTGTGTGTGAGTGTGTGTGTGTGTTACCTCACAGGTGTGTGTGTGTGTGTGTTACCTCACAGGTGTGTGTGTGAGTGTGTGTGTGTGTTACCTCGCAGGTGTGTGCCACCTGAAGCCCCTCCTCTGTGCTGATGTCACAGGTGGGCGGGCTCATGCCGCCCAGCATGTCGTAGAGCAGGAAGTCCTCGTCTTCGTTGCTGTGCTTGGACTCTCCGTCCAGACTCAGCCGGTAGGGCGACTCTGGCTCCGCTCCTCCTGGCTCACCTGCTGACCGTCGGGTCCGGTCAGGCAGGTCAGGGCGGCGGGGTGGTGGCGCAGCAGAAGGTGGCTGCCGATGGCCGCCTTCAGGCCACAGGTGAACTGACACACCTTGCAGCGGTAGAGCTCCACCAGGAAGGACTCCACCTGCGACAGACCCTCCACCTGCTGGCAGTACAGGCTGGAGCTCATGGCTCCGCCCATCACCTGCAGAGTCACCGGGCTGATGTCACTGTAGCGCTGCGCCACCCACGACATCACTGCCGCCGCCGCTCTCTGATTGGCTGCCTGCGGTCATCTGGAGATGATTAAAGCACGTCAGAACCAGAAGCTGCCTGGTCCTGCCTTCACAATCGTCAGGGGTCAAACTCCAGAAGATCCCAGAGCAGATGCTAAAGGTGCCCACAGTGCCCCCTGCAGAGCGCTGTGGTTCTGGTCCTGATCCTCCAGAACCTCTCATGCAGGCGGGTCCAAACGTTTTTTATTGAGGGCCAAATACAGACAAACAAGCAAAGGGCCACAGACACTAGAGGTGACATTCAGTCTGTCTCCACTAGGTGGAGCTTAGCGCTCAGGGCTTTCATGCGCATGCAGCTGTTCTTTCCTTCTAGATTCTTGTTCAGTGGATCCAGATCAACTAAAATGCCAGTTCTGCAGCTACAGAGTCACTTAGTTCATGAAAAAATCAAAAGCACTCTTCTCTTTTAAAACTGGTCGATTTCTGATGTCAGCGAATAAAAGCGCTGCAGCAGCACATCAGAGTGCAAGAACATCCCCATCTTCAGCGTCAGATTGGAGAGCCTGAAAATCTTTGTGGGTCATTCCTGGAGCTTGAAATATGTTGACAGTTTTAATAAGAGTTCATCACATCGCTCAGCTGGACAGTGTTGGCACACACTAACCCTAACCCTAACCCTAACCCTGGCACACAGCGCTTCTTGGTGGATTATACAGTTCATCCTAACAGCCTCACCTCTGCTCTCTTTTACCTTTGCGCTCGCCCGTCATGACCGGAGCTCCATCTGTTGTTACTCCGCAGAGCTTGTCCCAGTTAAGCCCCATCTTTTCAGCTGCCTGTATGCAGCTGCGCAGTGTCTGTGGCGTCTGAGCTCTCATCTCATGCTATCCAGTAAAAATCAAAAGCACAAGTTTTGTCTCTCAGCTGAAGTTTCAGGGCAGCTGACAAGTCTTCTATTCTCCGCACGACTGTGTTTCTGAATGAGCTCACATTGTTGAAATCAGACACTGTTGTTGGACACATTATGTGTGCCTTTGATGAGGCACTGCTTTATGAAATCACTGTCTGAAAACGGTTTGACGTGCTGGGCAATAAGTTTAGCGACTTCATAACTCGCTGTTGTGGCGTTTTCCTGTATTTTATTAGCACAAAAAACCTGCTGTTGAGCTAACAGGTTAGCTGCCATTTGCTTGACTTTCTGTTTCCAGTGTGTGATGTGTTGCTCTATGTTTGGTCTCATTATACTCTTTCATCACAGCAACATATTCATTGCAAATCAAAGTCCGTTAATTTCTTTGAAAAAGTTCATCTTCCCACCGTGTTTGAAATGTCCTCCACTCACTTGCTATTTTGCGTTTCTTCGGTGTTGCCATTTCTGGTGACTCAGTAAAAGTTTTCCTTGCTTAATGTTATTTCTGTGGCTGGCTCCATCTAGTGTTGAAACTGAGAAGTGCAACAGAGTTGAGCTCAAGCTTTTTCCATATTCAGTTATATTTTCAGAGTTTGCTATGGGCCAATAGAAACTGGTCCGCGGGCCGCAGTTGGCCGCAGGCCGTAGCTTGGACACCCCTGATCTAATGAATCCTCAGATTGGATTTCCTGTTGATGATGATATACGTTTATTTTGTGGCGGTGATATTGAACATCTTCTCTATGAATGTGTGTAAAGTTTTCTGTTATCATGTTCATTACTGGCTTTTCCCTAATATTCCAAACTTACCTGAATTTTCTAAGAGAGACATTATTATTATTATTGGGACTAAAAATAAATATGAAAGGCAACTAAATGTCATAATTTTCTCCAGCTGAACAGAAACAAAACTGAAGTCATTATTTTTGGACCTAAAGAGGAACAATCTAGAGCTATAGATCTAGAGCTATAGATCTAGAGTCAATGCTCAGCTTCAGTTATTAGAACTAAAAACTAGAGATTTTATCAACCTTCCAGACTTTCAGGTTCTGGTTCTGGTTCTGGTTCTGCTCTGCATCCAGAACCAGAACCAAGAAGCAGCTTTCAGCATCTATGCACCAAAAATATGGAACAAACTTCCAGAAAACTGTAAAACAGCAGAAACCCTGACTTCCTTTAAATCTCAACTAAAAACCAACTGATTAGTTTGATTTGAAAAGTAATCAATTAAAAATGTAATGATGGAACTTGACTTAATATATTGTTGATTCTATGTTGCAGGACTTTGTGTTTATGATGTAAAGCATTTTGAAATGCCTTGCTGCTGAAATGAGCTTTACAAATCAAATTTGATTGATTGATTGATTGATTACTATCCAGGGCAAGTTTTTCATTCATAAATGTGGTTTTCTTAAACCATCTTGAGGAACTCTGTCGCCTCTTCTCATCTCTAAAATTCAAGGCCAAACAATCTGAAACTCGATGTGGTGTTTTGTTCTCTGTCTGTATGGATCAGCCTGGTTCGGCTTCTTCGGGTTTATCAGGTCTGTGTTCATCTGATGCTGAGACCATGTTTGTTGAATATGATGGTAATAAAAAAATAAATAAAAAAATGTCAGTCAGGTTCTGCCGGTGACCCCTGACCCTCCCGCTGACCGAGACTCAGAAAGGCTGCTGCAGTTTATCATAAAACTTTGATTTAATAACCATATAATTCAGTTTTCATCCTTTAAGGAGCCATTTTATGACAGATTCTATAAAAGGAAATCGCATGTTTGGTTTTGATTCATTTTTTTCTAGTATTTACTCTCACCAAACTTAATAAAACATGTTTTTGTTAGTGAAGCTGTTGGATCAGTCTGGGATATGAAGGATCTATTTACTTCAGCGGAGGCGCCGAGTTACCGAGCGGTGATCCGCCGGTGCATTGATATGAAATCAAGTCCCGATCAACCCTTCATTTCATTCTGGAACAATCAGCTCAGCAGAAAATGAACTTTGACTTATGATTTATGACAGAGTGATCATCTCTCCGGGATGAAGATCTCTGGTCTGCTGCATTAACAGGCAACGGTTCTGGTTCTGGATCCCGGTGAACAGAACCAGGCCGATCTCAGTCCGACCCGGTCCAGGATCCTGACGGACCCCTGGCTCGGTGCCGGACCTGCAGCTCCGAGTTCCGGTTCGGCCCGGAAATGGGTCTGCTGTTACCATGGACACAAAGGTGGACTCACCTGCTGCGATCCGGTTCTGGAGCGTCCCGGTTCCGATCCGGATACAGAGGAACGAGTTAGATCGAAACCGGAAGCTGCGCAGACCAGCTGCGCAAGGAATCCAGTTTTTTTTTTACACAAAACTTTATTGAACTTTTTTTTAAAAAATATTTTGTGAACGTTATTATATAAAGTACAGAAAATATTATATATATATGTATACATTGAATTATTATGACGTAATAATATGAGCTGAAGAAGAATTTTAACAAATTTATTAAAATAACTTTGAGTCTTTCAGGTTCTATCAGGACCAGAACCGGATCTGAAAAAAAACAGAACGTGTCTGGATCAGAACCAGAGCAATCAGCCAATCAGAGCACAGCCCAGTGGAGCCTTGAAGTAACACAAGGAGAAAGACAGGAGTCAGTTTGTCCTGCAGCCTCCTGACCCCAGAAACA